AGTTTAGCTGCCTTTATGTGTGTGTCTGTGCAATCCATACGTGCTGTCTCATCTGTGGCTCTAGAAAGATRTGGGTCTCCTATATACATCGGTTCAGCTGCAAGCATGAGATTCTGCGCAGATGCCTCAGATCTGGGGAGTCATCTCAAATGGCATCAGATGTTGAGGTTCAGACAATGCACAGAGCTCCCAGACAAGCACAGCTGATTGTAGCCTTTATTGGAGCTTGTCCACYGTCACATCCTTAACTTGTAGGATAAACTGAGCACCCTTTATAGGATCAGCTAGGTGACTATTGAGTAAGATAGGAAGCTAGTTCATACAGAATCCAGACTTTAGGTGTCTGGCTTTTGAAACAAATCAAATCCTCTTCTGAATCACATAGGAATGCTTTAGAAAAATTCATTTTGAGTGGTATGCGTTTGTATCTACCAGAATAAGTGGAAAAAAAAAAAAGTCAGACTGATTGCAACTCCCTTCTCTTTTCTGTAAGCAGTCAACACTTTTTTTTTTTCTTATTTATATGAATAATAGGAGAATAAAAAAAAAAACAAAGCTAGAAAAATCATTCCACAGACTTCATGATGATGTGAAATATGAAACTAWGAGTTAATAGATAACAGAGGAATAGAGGCAGTTAGAATTATAAGCATGTGTATCAATTTTACTGGAGGATACAAAGAAGGTATACAAAGTATAAGATCAGTTTAATTTGTCTTTGTGATCATTTCTTTTCATCAAAGTGTAATTTCAAACTGACCAAAGTCAGTAGGACTTATTTCACTGACCTTAACAAGGTTTATATCACAATATAAGACATCTATCCCTGTGCATAGATATATATCAAAGATGTGTTCGTCAGTTTTACTCAATAGATGAAAATAATTCCAATTGTTTTACTATTCCTTTTGGCAAGTGAGTTAATATCTGGCTTCAAATTTCTGCACTAATTGGCTGACATAGATTAAGACAATTTGATTCTTCCTCYTTTTACCAATGATATTTGGACAGAATTGAGCTTCAGGCTTTCCTTTACTGTACTGTTAGAGACAATACCATTTAAAAAGCAAATGCGATAAATAAATAAATGAGGACCTTCAAAAATATGCAGGACACCAATGTATTAAGTTGCCTTCTTTCTGTGTTTTATGTAGAGTTTTAAAGCTAAGGCTTTCATATTGAATGAATAAAAGAAAGTTACCAAGACATAATCATCAAGTAAATAAAATGAGTTAATATGTTTAAAATGTGTTTCYATGCATTTTCATTGTCAATTCCTTTTGATCTATATATTTCTACTTTGCATTCCCTGGTGTTCAAGCTTCTCAGGCAGATCTCGGAAATACTTCAGTGCAGAGATTTTTGCGGAGTTTTTGCTCTGTTTTGAATGCCAGCTGTTTTGAATGCCAGCTTTTCTTTTTTCTTTTTTTTTAATCCTTGTTAATAGCAGATCAAGTCAGGGCGTAATGCTTTTCGAGTATATAAAATCATATCATGATAAAAATCATCAGTATATCATGATAAAAATCATGATAAAAGCTACTCAGTTTACATTAGCATTGCATAAACGTTGTTTGACACTTAAAACTGGAATGCATGGAGCTCAACCTGGGAGTGGATGATGAGAGGGTGGAGAGCTT